TATATAGTTAGTAAAGTATCTCAGGTTAATTGTGACTCTAGAGGGCATTTAGATGGATTCAGAGCGTGTACAAGTCATTCAGGAGTGGGAGAAACCTAACTTAAGAGATATCTGTACAGTACAGAGATTCTTAGGGTTTATTAACTTCTATTAATAATTCTGCTTAGGATTTAGCAAGGTAGCAAGGCTACTAAATAATCTATTAAAGAAGGATATAAGGTACACTTAGGATAACTATTATACTAAGGCGTTCTAGGCCTTAAAGGACCTTGTTTTAAAGAAGCTAGTCCTCACTTATTTTGATTCTAAGAAGGAGACAGTTATAAAGTATAATATAAGTGACTATATAGTTAGTAAAGTACTCTTATAATAAGGAAAGGATAAAGAACTCTATCCTGTAGTATTCTTTTTAACAAATATAATATTAATAGAGTATAATTACGTAATTTATAATAAGAAACTACTAATTATTATTTATTATTTTAAGAAATAGTTGCTAAAGCTATATTTATTAAGAGAGGATTCTATCTAAATACTTATAGATTATAAGGCTCTAGAGTATTTTATATTAATAAAGAAGCTAACATATTAGTAAGCACACTAGACAAAGTTATTATCTTAATATAACTTCAAGATTAGATATTACTTAAGAGCTACTAATAAAAAAGCTAATATATTAACTTAAAGAAAAACTAAGATCCTAAGAGTAAAGGAGGATCCTAATCTGTATCAGACTCTTCTGTAATTAGACATGCTGTCTAAGGAGGTAAAAGACGACCTAGAGATCTTGGTAATATAAGCGTTACTAGAAGAGAAAGATTTGCCGCTTTAGAAGAGGGTAAAGAAAGAGAATTAGGAGATTCTTGCGGAATTATTATGTCTGCAGAAGAACTAAATCTATATATCAGCTCCCTATAGGCTTGTTACAACCTCTTCTAATTCCTAAGCACCCTTAACAGGATATCTTAATAGATTTCGTTACAGAATTACTAATATTAAAAGGCTATAACATTATTCTAGTAATTATTAATTAACTAAGCAAAGAATACTATTATATCTCTTATATAATTGTAAAGGAAGGCACAACTTTAGAGGAGACAACTAAGATGTTATATAGGAATATATAGAAGCTCTATAGGCTTCCTTAGACAATTATATTTAATTAAGGGCTATAGTTTACTAGCGAAGTATAGAAATAATAGTGCCAAATCTTAGGAATTAAAGTAAAGCTATTTATAGCTTATTATTTACAGATAAATAGCTAGACAAAAGTCTCTAATACAGAAATGAAATAATACTTAAGGGTTTATATAGATTTTATACAGAATAATTAAAATAATCTTCTCTTAAGCGCTAAATTTGCTATAAACGTAGCAATATTTAAGTCTATATAGTTGTCGCTATTTATAATTATATATAGATATTAGCTAAGAATAAGCTTTAATAAGCCTAAGTCTACAAAGATAATAAGGAAATATATAGCCTTAAGAAAGACTAAGAACTTAGTAAAGCTAATAAAAAAGGGTTAGAAGTAAGCATAAGAGTATCTAAAGGCTATATAGTTATAGTAATAAGAGCAGGCGAATAAGCATTACTAGGAAATTAATTTTGAAGAAGGAGATAAGGTCTGGCTATTAATAAAGAACATTAGTATAATAAGACCTTATAAGAAACTTAATTTGAAATAAATTAGGCTATTCTCTATTGTAAACCTCCATCAATGGCGGGATATACATTACTGCTGACTAAGGACTCTGCTGACCCTCTGCCAGAGCAGGAGTACCTATAGCCTCTGCCAGTAGAGACAGAAGAAAAGGAGGCGTGAGAGGTCAAAGATATAATTAACATCAAGAGAGTAGGCAAAGCATGAAAGATACGAGCAAGATGAGTAGGCTAGCCAGAGGACCTGACCTATTACCTTATCTCAAACTTTAAGGGCTCTGAAGACCTGCTTAGGGATTATTTCGAAAGGCACCTAGCGAAAGAGGTGCCTGATTAGTTGATTTAAGGCTAAGTACAGAAAATCTAATAGGGATGTTACGTGACAGATTTGGCTATACATATATAGTTAAATATCAGACTAACTAAATAAGGAATTGTCAGGCTTAGCAACGTTAGGATAAAAGTGGACTTGCTTTCTTGTGCTCTTAATTAAGGGCAATCGTTTTTTTTTTAGAGGGGGGGGTAGTGTGATGGATAATACATTTCTTCTGCCATAGCACAGGAAATGCACGTGCCAGCCACCTACTCAGGAGGCAACGCCTATGACTGACTCGCGGCAGCAAGCAAACTCCTGCTGTGGGGCGCTTGTCAAAGCGTGTGAGCTATCCGGACGGATTACGAATAGAGAGGTTCGCCTTACCCGATTAGGGAAGCCTAAACTTCACTATATAGCAGGAGGCCGGATTAGGAACTATGAATGCTCTGTGGCCTATAGCGTGGCCCACGCACACACAGGCCTCACCCGCTGGCGTTGGAGTATATGAATCTGTGCATGGCCACATTATAGATAGATTCTCCAGCTTTCGTTTTAGCAATCTATGGACTATTAACTTGTTCTAGTTTCGAGCTATTGCATATACTTAATAGCCTTATTTTGCTTAAGGTATCTAGTAGACTCAACTATAGTACTAATATATAACATAATTAATATACAGAAAAGATTTAAAGCTATATACTAAACCTGCTGCTGCTCCTCTAAATAATATTTATCGCTAAAGACCTAATAATAATAGAGGATGTTAAGCATATTATCTGCATTTATTATTGCCCTAAACTAACTAGTTTACTAAAGCTTAAACTTATTAATTAAGTAATCTATAATAAACTATAAAGTAGAATCTCTTATTATTAAGACTATCTATGTCAAGTATTTATAATAGGGCTATACGTTCTTTATATCTATCTTAATAAATTCGTTAACAAAGTAATATGTCTAAACATGAACTATAATCCTCCAAAATTTTACGAAAGTAAAGAGGGTAGACAACGATTTTATATTTAAGGTCTTATAGCTTTATTCTAAGAATGATCAAACGACTTTGTAAGATAAATGATTCTTGTATATTTTGACAGGATCAAGGGTTAGAAAGTAACTTGACTCTTTATAGACTTTCTGACAGAACCTAATCATATTTGATCAATGTCTGTTGAAGAACAAAGATAGTAGGAGCACTAAGAAAATGTATAGAAGACTTACAGAATCCATTATATCTATGCATTTTCATACAATTTTTTGGTGCTGTCCACATATTTAGGTATTATTAGTTTAGTGCTTTAACCCAGTTTGCTAATCAGCTCTTTGAATAGTCGCGAATGTCTTTTGGTATTTTGCTTTGCATGAGTGAAGGGTGAGACTGCCATTGCTGGGTCTTTAGGATGATGTTATTGCGGAGAGGGGAGCAACTTTTTATATGCGGATTCGGATCCATCGAGTCGTTTCTGATATACTAATACCTGATTGAGGGCGACAATGAAGTTGGGTGGGTGAGGGGGAATTCTGCAAAAAGAACGGCACCCCCAAATCAGGTCCCATGTCTAGCGTTGGTGCAGAGGGTGCCAAAAGCAGCGTTAAAAAGGTCCCTGATTTGGCACCCTTCTACACCCTGATCTACAGTTACTCCGTATAAATTGCTGTAAAGTGCTTACCTGGAAAGGCGGTGCTACCGACTAGTAGCGGGATCTAATTGTCATATATAACTAAGCCAAATATCCTTACACAAGCTAAGTAATCTTACTGTCAGCTTGATCTCCTACAGTCAGTGAGGGGTACATCAATTAAGTGTGGTTCGAAACCCACAAGCGCTGTCCTTTTGGCGGAGTGGTTGATGTATCCCTTTTCTACTACAGCATCAGGCATAGATAACTTCAACCTGACGTTAGTATTTGCACATCAGAATAGCTGTCAAACGAGTCAACTAGCCCCGAAAGGTAGAGAGGTATCAGTTGGCCTACTTTACGTACTAATGGATGGACAGGAAGAAGAGAAGTTTTTGAAAACAGTGTGGCGGTGTTTTAACAACTAGCTAGTACTAGCACCGGGCTAACATTATTTCGGCCTAATGCCGTAGTAAGCGCACATTGATGGCTCTTCTGGCATTAATTCATGAGGGTCTTTCCCTGCTAAGTGTGGCTATGTTAAGTTTGGGGCCGTCAACGGTGGCCAAAAGTCATGAGACTCGCCTACCAGTAGACTACAGCAGTGAGCAGTAACTTGAATTCTAGCGCCAAACCATCCGGCCCTATTTGCTAAGCTATTTTCAGCATGGTAGATTATCAGTATTATTATCGCCCTCTGGTGAGCGTCTCCTTGGATAACATGACCTTTAGTCGTCAAAGGCTCACAAAACGCTGGTGGTGGTATCTGCAGCCCCTCTCAACAAGCCCAGTCAGCGTCTTATCAGCTATTTCCCGGCCTCCAGCCTCGATTAAAGTCTAATTAGTACGGAGTATAGTCGAGAGATCAAAATCCTGAACTCCAGGGAAATTGCTGTTTCAAGCCATGGTCGTGACCGTTTCGTCCCCATTCACAAACTCTGACCTGGGACTATTACCTGCCTTTTACTGCCATTATCTTGTTCCAGGTCTCTTTTGTCCTAACAGGACATCACCACTCCCACCTTTCACCTCTACATGTGCTGGAGTTCTCCGGCCATTCTTATCATGTTGCATTTTACCCTTTCACTGTGCTTCTTCCTCCTCGCCATCGCTTTGTGTCAGGAAACAGCCTTCCTGTACCCTCCTCCTTCCGAAGAGTCCAAGTTGTCCTTTTCCGTTGGCGATTTTCTCAATGCAACCTGGGTAAACAGCTCGGACAGCCCAGTCCTCGTGCTCTGGTGTTCGCGCCCGAATGACGGCTATGCAAGTACGTTCAACAGTGCCGGCACTAGCCTCCAAGCAACAGGCTCTTTGCTAGTTCGCCTTACGAGCTCTTCCGGAGATGCTAGCAATCTGTGCCACCTGGAGCTGAGGCCAGATCGAAACACCAATGGAACCAATTCCGTCAATTTTGCGCTCAAGGCTGCGGCAGATAACATGTCTCCTACCATATGGGGACTGGGCTCGTCCACCGAAAGCGCATCGAGCTCCACTCCGACGCCGAGTCAGACCATCAGCTCGATAGCGGACTCGACAGCGGGCTCGACATCGAGTTCGACAGCGGCTATAACGCCTGGCGCATCACCCAGTGCAACGGTTGTACCAGGTCAGGCCTCATCAGGACTCAGTGCAAGTGCCAAGGCTGTAATTGGCCTGGGCACTGGACTGGCTTTTACCGTTGGCGCTGTAACTGTTGCAATCTTTCTCCTGGTCAGAAAGAAAGCCAGAGCAAAATCAAGACTTATGCTTGGGGCAGAGGAAGTACGCTACGAACAGGCACCCAAGTCGCAGCTGTCAGGGTTCACCACAGCCACTGAATACCGGCCGATCACTGAAATCGATGGGGCGAGTCCTTCAGAGCTGCCTGGGGCATCGACCATGACAGGGTCAAGAAAGCCCTAACCTCGCCTTCCTTGCTGATCAAAGGGGGTAGCGGGGTGCCGTACTAGTGACAATACCCCCATTTCGATAACAAAGTACATTAATCCTGTACAAATCTCCTATCAATCACATTTTGACAACAGCTAATGTACAGAATGACGAATTTTAGGGCAGCTGCGAGACTGCACCGGTGCACTATACAGTAGAAAGTGTTAGCATCTATGCTAACAGATGTCGATGGTATATTGAAAACATCATTTGTTCTATTGTCAGATGTTTTGAATCTATCCTAGTCCATTTTCCCTAGGAGAAGCTAGCCACGAATATGTGAGTGTTATACTTTGCTTTCGTCTGCATATAAAGAGCTGATACTTCCTACAAGGGGTGCATGGTGTGAAAAGTATGACCACATAATGGAAGCATTAGTCATTTTCTAAGACATTCGACATTTTGCTCAGCGGCATTGCTGTGTATCAGAATGGGAAGACATGATTTTGATGGCTTTGCAATATCTTAGCAGTTGTCTGAGAGTTGGCCCATAATTTCCCATGGTCTTCATGATGTGAAGTAATAACAGCAGTACACTGGGTTGACTCGATAAGAAATATCACACAATCAAACAATCAGTATGTGTGGCCAAACGGGCAACGGCCACTCGCAATTCATAACGAGTGGTGAGTCTTTCCTGGATAGGATTTGGCTTGCTTCGGAGGATGACCACCAGTTGTGATATTCATGGACCTAAATTGGGTGTGGTATGGCTTGGAGAAGGAATGATTTACTACGTACTAACTACTAAGTTACATAGTAGTTAAGTTAGCTACTAGTCAGGTACCACCGGCCTTGGCGTGGAATTATGCTCGTCACTCCTTCCTCCAAAATTTGGTTGCTGGATCAAGATCTGCCCAATATATCCACCTCCCATCGTCCCTGGTCATGAACAAACTCCTTCCGTGTCGATACTCCCAGCTCCGGAATCTAAAGTCTACACAACTCTCCTCAGTCATGCAGGCAGTTTATTCGACCTCGTCGCTGAAGCAGGCCAATCCGACGCCGTTCAAGAGTCTGACCGGCAAACTGGATCCAGGCATTCTCAAAGCGCTGGATGCAATGCAGTACGAGTACATGACGCCTGTTCAAGAGAAAGTGCTAAACTCATTGCCATCTCTTCGAACTGATTGGTAGTCGCTCATACCTGTGCTCTGAATAACTTTACTGACAATCCAGTCTGGTGCAGGCCAAAACAGGGACTGGAAAGACAACAGCGTTCCTTCTTCCCGCCCTACAGTCGCTTGTTACCTCAGACTCGGTTCCGAAAGGTCAGGTCGCCATCTTGATACTTTCTCCAACACGAGAGCTAGCGATGCAGATTGCTAAAGAGTGTAATCAAATCACCGCACATCTACACAAACGCATTGAGTGTCACACCGCTTTCGGAGGTTAGTGGTCTGGTTTGAGGATACGAACATAATGCTGAGGAAAATAGGTTCTGCTCGAGCAACCGCCCTTTCCAGCTTTATGAATGGTTCACCTTCTGTGCTTGTCGCAACACCGGGGAGATTGAAGGACTACCTAAGTGAAAAACCTACCCAGGCCAAGTTCAAGAACCTCCGCACAGTAATCCTCGACGAAGCCGATACTATGTTAGAGAAAGGCTTCTTGGAAGATGTCAAACACATCTTACGGCTCCTTCCACCAAAAAGGAGTGGTTGGCAGGGAATGTGCTTCTCGGCTACAGTTCCAGACAAGATCAAGGACGTCCTTGAAGTTGTTCTGATGCCGAACTACGCCACTGTTTCCACGATTGATAAGTTCGAGCCGCCAACCCACACACGGTAAGTGCAATCTGCTCTGCTCATGCGTCAATACTCATGGTAACCTAGCGTGCCGCAATATCACGTTGTGATCCCCACGGTCAAGGATACATTTACAGCCTTGTTGTCCCTCGTTGAGCATGAGCGACAGGAAGGAGAGGCAAACCCGAAGATCATCGTCTTTGGCACTACTGCAAACCTAGTTGCTCTATATGCAGAGTTTTTCCGCCGATCGTCATCTCTTCGAGTCTATGAACTTCAATCTAGACTGAGCCAACCTCAAAGGACACGAACGACACGAGAATTCAAGGAAGCTACATCAGGCATCATGTTTGCTACAGACGTGATCGGCAGGGGAATGGATTTTCCCAATGTCACCTCGGTTATCCAAGTTGGTCTACCCATGAACGGTGAGCAATACGTTCATCGGGTCGGTAGGACTGCTCGTGTTGACAGAGATGGCCGTGCTGTCATTCTCCTGACTCACGCTGAGTCCTTCTTCCTGAGATCCAATCAAAATTTGCCTATTCGACCATATGTGCACGAAATCGACACCAAGGACAACGCTGCGGCCACGGAGGCCATGGCAACAATCGACGAAAAGTCAAAACAGAAAGCATACTCTGCATATCTCGGATTCATGAAAGGTTTCATGAACAAGCTTCAACTCAAACCAGAAGCCCTCGTAGCAATGGCTAATGAGCTGGCAATCAAAGCTCTTCACTGTCCTGGAGTGCCGCCTATGGAGAAGAAGACCATCGGAAAGATGGGTCTGAGAGGAGTACAAGGGATAAACTACGGCACTCTGTCGGATGACGAGAGCCCTTCCAAGCGCATGAAACCAAATGTTGAGCAGAGGCAAACATTTAATAGTGCTCCTCGTGGTGGAAGAGCTGCCCGTGGTAGAGGGGCTGGAGGGGGTGGTAGAGGAGGGATGAAAAACATTGCATAGAGTAGAGCTCCAGTTGCAGTCTGACGCAGAAGGATTGAGCATAGGCGTTGTGGCTGACATGGTTTCTGTTAGTATACCCCCATAAACAGCTTTTGCTAAATAACAATTCAAGTACCATAGAACAAGCTCTCTGACTGATGCACGATCTCTCTACGGTAAAGAGCTTGACGCAATCACCGCCACAAATCAATTTCTATGCGACTACAAATCTACCAATTATACATCGCAAACCTTCCTATCCCTTTAAAGCATTCTCTTACAGCCCACCATAAACCAAAAAGCAACCCCCATTAGCATCTGACATAACAACACCTCAAAACCAAGCAAATCCCACCTGTCATCTAAAGTCCAAGCAAAAGTCATAGCAGAGTCATGATATTCGTGCACTCGGAGAGTAAATAGCCATCATGCTATAGCAACGCCGCCGCGGCGATGCGGCGATGCGGCGAAGCATAGTTTGCTATGTTGTACCATTTCCGGCGCACGTTTCTCGATGAAGGCCAATCCAAGTAGGATGATCTTGCGTTGGAAGGAAGCCCGGAATCCTGTGTTGGTGTTTGTGTTTCGTTGAATCCATGTTTTAGGGTGGGAGGGGCAGGGGGTGGGAATTCATGCGAGCGAGCGAGGAAGTTGCCTACTTACCGGGACAAGCGCTCTGATAATGATGCGGTATTGGTCCTTATGTAGTAATTTAGCAGATGTTTTATCATCTTAAGGATTGTCAGGCGGCTCAAATAACTATAATTCAGCTATAATTCAAGCGTTATTGTTCTAAATAACATCTAAAATAATATTATTATTTTATTAGATTTCAGATGTTTAGCTGCATAATCCTATGGAAACTAGATCATATCACTAAAACTAAGCACATATTGATGGTAATTTAGGCATAGTTTTCAGAGGCCTTGCCCTGCTAAGTACTACTGGTAGTTTAGTTAGTAGCGGGTTGGAACACCTAAGCATGCCCAATGTCACGTGCTGTCCTTGTTCTGCTAGGGGCGTTTTGGTAGATCACTGTTCGCAGGTAGTGGTAGCTTTCGTTACTGAAGTTACGCAGCTTCTGACTCGATCCAATCAGGTCAATTTGGTACCCAAGCAATGTGTGTGATTTGGTATTTCCTAGGTCTCCAGACCCACCACTCATCCCGTTTCTAAATGCTTCTGAGTGCTGGCTGCCGATTTAATTATTCTTTATTTTTGATATTGGATCCTCTTATTATAGGCAGGACTCGGTAGGTTAAAGGCATGAAGGTGGGATGGATGGGTTTGATTGGTTTGCCTGATGGACTGGCTGAGGGGAGAAGAGGGATGGCTTTGGGATAACTACAGTATAAAAAGGCGGGTGGGATCCGGGTGAAAGATCGAGTACGGGGGCAACAAGATATTCATTGATTGTATTCATTCATTCCTCAGGTGCTTGAGAGCTGGACTCTTGTTTTCATCACCCTACTGGTTCAAAATCTTTCTCTCTGACATCGAAGAAATTCTACGTCCTTCATCTATCGTCACCATGTATCCCCACACGATCCTCATCGTCCTCCTCCCCGCCATCGCTGGAATCGCATCCGCCCTCCCACAAGGAAATACTGCATCTGCTGTTCCATCCAGCGTTGCCATTCCATCGAGCGCTCCCGCCCCATCCAGCGTTGCCGTTCCATCCAGCACTCCCGCCCCATCCAGCGTTGCCGTTCCATCCAGCGCTCCCGCCCCCTCCAGTGTTGCCATTTCACCGAGTGCTGCCGCCCCATCCAGCGCTCCCGCCCCCTCCAGTGTTGCCATTTCACCGAGTGCTGCCGCCCCATCCAGCGCTCCCGCCCCCTCCAGTGTTGCCATTTCACCGAGTGCTGAAGCCCCATCCAGAGCTCCCGCTCCATCCAGCGCTGCCGTTACTGTGTCAGCCGCTTCCCCTGCCGCACCGACAGCAGCTGCTACTGCGTCTGGCACCGCTTAAGCGGCTGCGGCAGCCGAAGCCTGCAGACTGCTCATGCATGTTTCAGATCTGCTGCTTGTATCTCATTGATGGTCTCGAATGCACCCACATACGCCTTGCCGGGGGACGAGTAATGGCGATACGGTGTTGGGGGGAGTAAGAATGTAGTGCTATAGCTGTATGCTGAAATAGGTGTATTGAAGGTTGCTACCGTTTCTCTGCTCTGGTATTTTCGAACTCGTGAAATTGAATCGGTATGGACGGTGTTTTTTTGGAACTATGCTATCCGTTCTTGGTTGAGCTCAAGCCATCTCGAGCTCTAGCATATAGTGGCGCAAAATAGGGTTGGTGGACCAGTATAGACTTTTTGAGCATCGTTAATCGGAGTGTACATTTGTTGTAACTTGTCGGAAAGAGACAAACAACATTTCACTGCGTTGGTCAATGCTGGAATGACCTTCATCAATGAACCCCGTACTGGGAGTAGGATAGAAAGTGGAGAGAAAAGACTTAGCATAGGGAACAAGAAGACAACTCTCTTGAGAGTAATGAAGATGCCAGAGTCATTGCGTAAGGTATAAGAAAGCAAGCCGGAGTTATAATCGCGCGTACGTGAGTCAAACCTTTATCAGATCCAGATTTCCTGCATTGTGTTGGCTTCTCCACGATTTTAGGGATCTATAGAACTAATAGTAGAGCTTATCTTGCTCACTAGGCCATAATGACTTGACCGCAGGAGTGGAATTCTCGTTGGATAATTTAGACCTGGAGATTCTGAGACTGCAACGGAGCGTTGACATCTTCCAGTAGCAGAGTGACATTGATGAACTAGCGTATACCATATCAGCTTGCTTGATAACAGACCGGAAACCTGCATGTTGTGACCTGCCCGTGCCAAGGGGTACCCAACGAGAAAATCAATTGTTGGATGGAATCCAAGCCTGCTGGTGGTGATGTGATGCCATGATCATCTGATTTGGATCAGACGATGATCATGCCCAGCACGAAGGGTTTTCCGTTGTAGAATTCATCATACGAAGATCTGCCCCTCTGAGTCATAGGCGATGTAGGGAGCAACTGTTGCCCGCCTTTGGGGTCGATACGTTAGACGGCGGGGCCTGCGGCCAGCTCTCTCAGCATCCACCTACAGGGTGTGTTCCAGAATGGTCCCAGTCTCCGGCTGTTGCCTCTATTGCCATCTAGCTCTGATCTCTGGCCTTCCGTAGTAGAAGCATTGACCACGCACAGACGGAGGTGTCCTCCTATGTCGAAGGTACCGAAGTCCAGAGGGTTCATAGAGATTGTACAGCTCCTTGGACACCACGATGGCTTGTATATGGTGAATAGATCGGCCTTTCTTCCATGATGACTTCGGTTTTGATGTGATTTTCAGCGAAGTGAAGCCAGACCGACTTCATCAACAGTACTCTAAGATGACGACAAGCCAATTGCACAATTGAAAATATGACTCAGCGTATTGCTTGGTTGCTCCGACAGGTTGCAACGGAACGGTTTACATCTGCTGGATAGGATCTAGGCAGTAAGAAGGCGTGAACTTCGCTTACCAGCGTATTGGTTGGGGCTAAGGGCATCCATAGCACAGGACCGGTGCGTGCCAAATTGATCACAAGACATTTCATATTGAGAAGTGGGGGTACTGCCCGTTCCAAAAGTGTTGCAATTCTTGCTATAATCTGCCGTTATACAGTCATATTTAACTCAATAGAGAGCATCTTTAAGCATGGAATCAAGCTATTAAGGATGACCCTAGTGTTGATATAGCGCATCCTCTTATATCTCTAGCTTAATAAACTCCACAAGCAGCGTCGACAGCAAGTTTAGCGTCAGCTGGGGGGTTGACGCTCAACCTCAATCTTTTTGGCAGCGCTCAACAGCAGGATACTATGCTCCGCGAGTCTGCTGACGGTAAGGATCGATATAGAGGTTTAGCGACGCCGTCAAGGGCTATGACGCCTCTACAGCCTCTTGTGACGCCAAGCAGCCTGATTCCACAGGCTAGAGATGAAGATGCTCGCCTTACCGCGTTCATTTGCTCGCGAATCAAGGATAGACCGGCTTAACGAGCTGAATTCGAACGAGCATTCAAGAAGTTGGCTAAGCATGACGTAGGGCTCTCGGATATGGCCTCTTTAGCAAGAGAAGACTAGAAGGAGATGGGTATTAGCCACAGCATTTGCGTGGATTTGCTGCGGCACGACAAGATATGGTATTAACGTTATTTAGAGAGCGTTAAAGAGGCTGATAGCACTCTTTATAATGGATTTAAGCATTTGTAGTCATTTAAGATTAATAATAGTGACTGAATTCTCTTAGATAGCCCTTGTTTAATACTCAAAATATGAATAGACGTTAAGATGTGTATTAAGATTTTATATATTGTTATTTATTTTAGTAGGCTTATAAACAAAATTAGTTACTAATATATAAATAGATTACTAGCTTATATAAGAGCTCACGAAAATTAATTCTAAAATGTTGCTTAATTTAGAAATTTACGTTAAGACTTGCTAAGACCCCCTTTTTAGCTATATAACGCGGTTCTATATTAGAATTTGAGAGATAATCTAGT